CCATGACCACTGCTGCTGTGTGTAGTCATAATGTCAATGGGCCGTAACGTACCTTCACTGGAGCTATCGACAGTCCCATTTGATGTTTTTGGACTTGTATCTGTTTCAATAGTGGTGTGGGGATTTATCCCAATCCCTACTGGTTTGTCAGAACGTGGTGCATCAAGTGAAGCTACACTATTTCCTATGTCCACAAGACTAATGTGATGTGGAGGCGTGAGCATCTCAATTTCCGCTACGTTGTCGCCAGTCTTAACATCGTTAGTGTGGAGAGTGGCCTTGCTAACATTAGCTGCCTTTTTAGAAGGGGAGAACCAAACACTGTTGAATGATCTCCTTCTTTGCAATCCAGGAAGCGCGCAGGGAGGATGACTCTGCTTCGGCTCAGGCGAGACATTAGTTGCACTCATGCGTTGAAGCTCACGTTGCAAAGGTGACCTGTCTACAAATAGAATAACTTTGCAAAATTTCGGGACAGATCTTAAAGTATTTTGACTTTTGATAAACGAATTTGCGAGACTTTCATTACGGAAGCTAAACAGAGTCGGACAAGGAAAACGCAAAGATTTTTTCCTCAGTCTTCTACAACTAATATCGGTTTCAGCGATGTTGCACGCTCTCGAAACAGAGCGTCTAATGGTGTCAATTGCGATATTGTCAGCTATGTTGAGGGCGATGACGTTTTTTCCCCTTCTGCATCTTTGATTAACCTCAGAGGCGATTGCATTTAGGAAGTTTAAGGCTCCAATTTTGTGCTTTTGCTCTGGATTAGCCGGAGACTGAATTATGTATGAAACTGACATTAGGAGATCTCCGAATGAGTCAAACAACTTTAGTTTCTCATTTTGTTCCTCTAACTGTTTTTCCAACGTCTTTATTTTGGCTGACAGTGAAGATATAAGGTCACAAACACTAACTGAACTTTCAGTGATTTGTTCTTTGGACTTATTTACCTGTTCTTGTATCCCAGCCTCGGAATGTGTGCAACAGGGCACAGGTTCCTCGACACTCGTGACGGCAGCATAATTTACCGTGATTATTCGGTTTTCCACACGCTTTTTCCTCATTGCACGGGTGTTAATGGCAGTCATCAATCTTGTAAATGAGAAGATCAAAGCTATGAAAAATGTTTTCGAGTACCCTGACGCGAACACTTGTAGCTTCTCCGCGGAACGTGGATCGCTTCAATGCGGGACGAGGATCACTTCTTCGCGGGACGATGATCGCTTCTCCGCGAGACGAGGGTCGCTTCTCCATGGGACCATAGTCGTTTTCTTCTTGGGACGAGGGTCGTTTTGGCGCGGGGCGGGGTGCGGCGAGGAGAGAGACCACTCCCAAGCGCACCGTTCGGCAGCAGCGGAGGTTGAGGTCCTGCCGGCCTTTTTCTGGGCTAGCCAGTTTTTTGTAGTCGGACAAGCCCGCTCCAACGGCTCGCCGAAATGCACCCTGCCCTGCATTCCATAAATAACAAATCATAAATGGCACAGCGGACTCCGACTTCCGACGGACCCCCATTTACACGAACGCACACTCACTTTTACTCGGCACGATTTTGCCTTACGAAATTCTTTTCGACAGTTCTTTTCGATTTCGAAGGCTTTCTATGTTCAGCCTTCTAAGAGGGAGCTCTGTAGCGCCCAAAAAGATAACTCTTATCTTTCGTGTACAATTTACTTGTTGACCGATTGTACATTACTCCTTCTTGTTTTAATCTTACAACCGGCTCGCCACACAACTGCCTTGTAAGTCCCCGTGCTCACGTGTACGCCCTTGCCTCGCTTCATCCATCCGAACCTTGTTGTAGCCCATCGAATAAAGTCCGCTGTGTCCGACTCCAATTGCCTTCTGATATCCACGCTTAATTCCGCGCATCTTCTCGGGCTAGTATTAACTAGTCCTACAATATCTAGGATAACCAAGGGTGTCACTACATAGAGGGAACTATTCAGACTTGTACCTTTGTTGATGAAAATTTGGTGACAGTTCAGCTGAGAATGAAAACCAGAAGCTTTGCTTTGTCGCTAAACGTTCAAGATTAATTAGTGAAAATTTGATAAATCAGGTGAGAAAATCAGAGTTCAGGTTAAAAATGCAAGTATGTTTGTTAAATATTCGATAACCCTCCGGATGGGTCTTACCAAAATCCAGTGAATGAAATTTTAGTGACCATAGTGGAGCCATATCTGAGCTTCTTTCAGACCTGCAGCAAAAGGGCAGGAGAAAGTTCTGCACCGGCTTCGACAGAACCGTTGAAGGATAGAACTCACATCGACGAATGTCGTAACCAGGCATATGACAATGCTACTCTTATGGTGCGCTAACCAATGGGTGTCCAGAGACGTATCTGTAAAATCAGCGCAAACTCTACCACTTTGTCATGCACAAATCACTCTGTGTTCATGCAGCGTCTGCGACGGTACATTCTGTGACATTTTTGGTACGATAGACCAGTAAGTATGATTCTTTCTTCAGTTAAACATTACTTGAATATTTTGATGCAAGTCGTCGGTATAAGTATCAGGTGGCAGTAAGATCAATATAAAAAGTAGTCGAGCGGATGTTGTAAATATTGTGGTGAAAAATAATCGGAATTCGTCAATTTGGTGGAACATTTCACATTCTAAGGAGCAAAAACAACTACAAGATCAGCTGCATGTTTAATTCAGATCACTGTATTGTTGTTTCCGTTTATTCTGGTTCTGAGCATTTAGGTATCTGTTCTCATAGAAATCAAGAATGCACAGATATGCCTGAACCAATCGCTTGGATCTGCAGCGAAGTTCTTTTAGGCTTAGAGAATTAAGGCTTTTGCTTCTCAGAATAAAAAGAAAATGGTGCATATGGTACCGGATGAATCAAAGAAATCCTACGCCAAATTAGGGTAAGCATGAAGCGTCGAATCCGCCAAAAGAATCGAATGGACGGTGGACAATTGTCTACAATATCGATGGGATTTGATGCGCAGTTTAAACAGGAAATGCCGCATCTCATAGAGTGTTGAACTGAGGAAATGCTGTACATTTCAGCAAAGGTCTGAGCTTACGAACAAATTAGCTGTTTTGCACCGTTAAATCTGTCTGATGATAACTATGATTGTCCGCTTAGTGCACTCAGTGAAGATGTAGAAACAGAGGAAATCCTTGCAGGAAGTAAAATATTGCAGCAGTATGTAAAAGCTTTAGGACGCGACAAAAGTAATGCCCATTCAGTACTTTTCAACCACAGACAGAAATATCATATTGGGGTACCTGCTGTGCCTATTTCTTACCTAAACTATTAGCATTGACAGCTGTGCGAGCGCATTCTCAAAACGCAAGCTCAGAACGAACTATCTTCCATCATCATTGGAGCAGAGAAGCCTTACGTGTTGGCAGTTCTATATATGTGGTGAGTGAACTTGATGATGGATAGTGTTATCAACGCAACTGCCTCAGGTAATGCGCACAATGTATGTCTGTTACCCTTGCTCATGAGTAGTATAACACGAAAACTGCCCGCAATTACGGCAGAACAATAAAATTGAATCCCTTCTGGCTGTTATTTGAAACGAAATATTCAAGGACTGCCCTCTGTGGTGACAGTTTATAGATTTACAACCGCCAGGGGGGCGGCATTTTTACGTCCGCCCTGAACCGCTAAACTACTTGCTACCCCAATGTCTGAACAGATTCAGATTTCACGAGTCTGTGACAAATGCCCCTAACCACCAACACGGATGTTCTTCAGCAAGACCATTTCATACCTTATCAGATTGTACTTACGTCCTAACAATAAGTGTCGCCTGTTGTAACAAAGCAGTGCTCACTCACATGGTAACAAAATTATCGCAGTCGTATTTCGGTATTAACGCTGTCAGTGGAACGCTGCTCGAAACCTCTCTATTGTACCCAAGGGGGCCAATATATTCCGAGATGCTTTAGGGAGATTCCGAGGATGTACTCTGCAAAACGAAGTGGAGAATGAGTTTCATGGGACGCATTGTGTGAGAGGCACGTGCCTGTGTGACGTCTCAGCATTACCGGCACATGATGGATTAAGTGAGTAGGAAAGAGGCTCATGCAATGCATTGTACTGATATGTAAAGTGCTTCCATTTTGTCGATATAAATTGGGACTGGTTTTTTCCTTGCTGTGCATCACAAGGTCATTGATTCGACATGCAGGTCTAACGGATGGTGATCAGGCGCCGTGTCAAAGTCAACGTGACCGGCTATTGGATCACTTACCAGTCATTTCTGTAATCAGAGGTGAGTACCTAACGGAGGGCAGATGAACAAAATGTCAGCCACCTACTTCTCTGTGATTTGCTACCAACACAAAGAAGGCGAATGAGCCACCCGGCTGTCAATGGTTTTCGTCAACCACCCCCGATACCTTGCTGGTCTGATACTTAAGAACAAAGGTTGCGGTGGTGTCCTTTAAGTCAACCCCTTTCCTTGATGTGTGCAACCGGGAAGATCTCTGCCCACACAACGCATAAACCTTCGAAACCTTATTAACCCTTCTACTAACTACCTGTTTTCCCCGTTTTGTTGTTGTTAACTGTGTTGTGGCACTGCCAATTGTAGATTGGTCAAGTGTTGAACAAGATAGTATAATAATATATATGGTAAAGAACAAAAGCCGAAGAAGGATTACACGACAAATTCACCGGAAATAATGGGAGCTCAACATGCGTCCTAAGGCAGCCACGTGTCGAACGCAAGTTCAACGATGCCTGTACAGGAATCAATTGACGCACACTAATATGTGCATATCGGAGAATATAATTCGGAACGGCGTCAACACCGTAGAAGTGTAGAAGGGTGCAATGGTTACATTTGCACACTTCTGAACGGATTACAAAATTAAGCGGCATTCTCCTCTGCAGTGGGGATCACACTAACATTCCTATGCACCGCATAATCGAGCCACAGAGACAAGCAAGACTAAGACAATCACTGTTAAGTAGTTCGAGACGAGAAGCCCCAATGGTCAACAGACGAAGCAAAAACACGGAACAGCGAAAGTCCAATGGGGGATGAATTGGCGCGATTCGATGATCAGCTTAAAGAAAAATCACAGAAACTAAGTGGCGCAACGAGAAAGCGATTAGAAAAAGGTTGTGTTCATCGGTGGACTGCAGGAGGTGGTGCATAAGTTTAGAATCTGATCTCCACATCTTTTGACCAGGGAATAATGCGACGGTCGGAGACGAACTCGTTTATCGGTTCCTTCACACCGATTGGAAGAGTAGCCAAATAAAACGGAGTGTCAGCACCTAGGTGGAAAAGAGTGAGACAAGCGATAGAATTAAGCCTGGTGACCCAAAGAAAAGACAACCAAGTGTGCATTACTATGAATGAATCTAGATAAATAGGCGAATTCGCTGATTATGTAAAAAACGAATAGAGATCCAAAAATATGAACAATCGCGGCTTGTGAATTGTGTCATAAGAGACCTGATAGGAGTCAAGCTGGACCATCGATATCCGAAAATCATAATTTCATTCCCCAGATCAGAACGATCATATATACCGAATTATGCAAATGAGCTACTGCGTCAAGACAAGTACGTTGTCACAGTACTAACTCATACGAAACCAAATTTTGCTAGAAATCTCTCATACACATGCACTTGATGTATTCATAGAAAAGTCATCCATGCGCGTTTAAATCGGCCATTGCCTTTTCGCTGAAACTCACTTAAACGCTATCTGCTGCAGATATGTCAGTATATTTTGGTAACCGCAATGTTCAAACTAATTCTACGGCCACTGAAACGGTTTCACTTTAGCAATGTTGTAAATGGTAGATCAAGGTATAGCGCACGATCGGTGATTCGTTGTTTTTGGCTAATTGTGTATAGTTTAGTAAAACGAAACCCTGTCGAGTGGATGTAAATACAGAGGATTCTGTTCAGTCAAGCGCGATCGTTGCTTGAGAAGACGAGTGTGTGCTCGACTGACAATAGTGCAAAGCATTGGTAAAAGTTGGGATTTTTGATGGCAATTTTAGTCCATCTGCAATTGATGATAAAAAATGCAAACAATGCACCAAGCCACGTACTTAAAGCTAACATTAAGTTGACTTGAAAGAGACTTTTCACCAAGAGCGAGACGCTGACACGTTACAAATCATCGATCGGTCTCCACGAAGGTACCCAGTCAAAGGCTGTACACGCGCAGGACAGGAATCAGAGGAACGTGATGAAACCTAGATAGAAGCTCCAACTTCGGAGGATAATCATCTAGCAAGGCATAGGATGGCTTGTTGCTGAACATTTGATGACCCTTTGACCATCAATTGCCAAGTTTTTAAGGTCTTTGTGTAAAGCTTCCACATCTGTTCCACGTGGCTACATCGTCCGCACTGCAGTGTATTACAGTGGACACCTGAAAGACAAGCTAGTATAATGTCGTGCTCAGACACAGTCGACACTTCGAAGAGACATTGTCTACCGAGCCTTGCACCCTCGACGATCGAACCAGACAAAATACCCCGGCGCATATACTGTAAAGAAAGGCAAGACGCATTCAATCAGTAGCATTTTGAATTGTGAGGACGCAAGGCACAGATGTAAATATGTGGGATATGCGTGGCACCTGGAAGACATTCTAGGGGGACCGTGTCGTCCGCATACTGAAGGTTTGCCAGTTTCATAGTACACATCGGTGTGAGATCGTGCTTGGATGGGGGGTCAGACCAATTCTCGTTCGCCGCCTCACTGTGGAACGGGAATCCCGGATTAGGGAAGAGCAAGAAGCATTGCACTCAGAATGAGGTAGTAGAGACCATATATTTAATCTGCAGCAGATGCTAGAGCAGCGCTCCACATACAGCAGACCGACAATAGCAGTGCTCCTCGACTGTAAGAGTGCGTTTGACTCAGTCGATCGATGCATTCTGTTCGAAACAATTGAGCGGAAAGATGTTCCCATGAGATGTGAACATTTTGCATGCCCTGTGCTGGAACACTACAGGCCCAGTCCGGGTCTAGGGTGTCCCGTCGGAAATTTTTCCGATAACAAGTGGCGTTCGTCAGGGTTACCGAATTGCTCCATTTTTGTTCAACTTCGTCGTGAACTCCATCTTGGAGTGTTACCATACGGAGCCTCACGATGTAGATGTTGAAATGCTGGTTGACCATGATTATTCAGATGATATTGTCGCTTTACCGACGTTGAAGTGAGAACAATCAACCCTGGGTAGCCTAACTAGAGCGGTCCCATTATTTGATATGCACTTCGCATCTTTAAAGTGTAAAGTGTTGCTGCAGGACTACCAGCCAATTGATGACCTCTAAAGCGTAGTTAGTGAAGAACTCGATGTATCTGGTCAATTCGTTTACATTGACAGCTGTATCAGCAACGGTGGGCGTATAACCACTGAAGTTGGTTCACTTATTGCAAAAGCTAGAACTGCCTTCTGAATCTACGACTTGTGTGGCGCAAAAAAAAGTGTTTTCCTCCGTCTGAAAGACCGTGTTTACAAGGCCACAAGGAGGATGGTCCTGATTTATGGTAGTGAAACATAGACCCTTCATTCTGTAGGCATGAGACGTTTTCACGTGTTTGATCATCGTGGTCTACGAAACATTGATGGTGTCGGATGGCACCAGCGTGTCCGCAACGATGATGGACGTAAGCGAATACTAGGTAGTGATGATCGTGCTAGCTCTTTAGAAGAACGGATAGCACTGAATAAGTTGCTTCGGATTGGGCACGTACTAAGTATGCTTGGTCACTGCTTAGTTTAGTCTGCCAGGTGTTTGTTTGTTTAGTCTGCCAGGTGTAGGGTGGAGAAAAGCTCCAAGTGGACAGAAGTTGACTTGGCAGCGTGAAATGAAGTCACTGACAATCAGACTGGGTGCCGTTGGTTCGTCTCACCTTCCGGGCTGGAGTCCACGTGATCCGCCTTGAGCTTGCCTAGAGAGTTTACAGGACTTGGGTCGTAGTCCACACCAGTAGCGTGTCTAGTGTCCTCTAGTAGTCGGACGGCCTGTTTAAAGTGCGTTTGATGCTGAGTCATCTGTGGGGTAATGGATGATTTTCCGCAGGGCAGTGGAAGCGGCAAGGGAACTGTCACGCCGATGCCGCCTTAACTTTGCATGATAACCAGCTGCTCGTGGCGGCATTTAGTGGACAAGCTGTCGGTGCGTTATCGCTGAAGCTGTGCTTAGGGCATTAAGCTTTCCCGGTAAGCCCTCTTCCTCTCATTCGTATTATCCTTTGTTCCGTAGCTCATCATGACTGTACGGCAGCGAAGCATCAGTTCAGATGGTTGAAGTGTTGCTGTTGATGATGACTTTAATCATGACGCAAGTCAATGAAAGTCACAATCGAGCTAGCGGACTAATTCAACAGCATGTAATCAACAACATGAAGGCAACCTGATCACGGATGGTTGTATATGGCGTCTAAATATTGCATCCGCATCCCGTCTTCTCACTAACCACATCCCTGAGCAGCAGCGCAGCTAGGTTGTAACATGAAGAGACGTAAGCACAATATACCGACGTATCACTGTTACGCATGGAGATAGGGAGAAAAGACCGATGGTACGAGCAGACAGCATTTGTACCGAATAAAGTAGCTGATCTAACCATCAGTAAGTAATGTTGTCAACTTTCGGTAACGATGGAAGAAGTTCGATGGGTCCGTGCGTCTGAGTACTGGTTCCACAGCACGAAGTAGTGATGGATCTCCCTGAGGGTGGAAATTTAACTGCAGCGGTCCGACTAGGTTCAAGAGGACAAACTATCCATGTAGACACTGTGGGTCAAATGGATTGCTTAGCAAGCTATCGACCACTGCTCGACCAATCACGGGAATCCTGAGAAGGAATGCAACTAAGTGCTGAACTGGCTAGTTTGGGTAAATCTGACGACGACAAAGTCTCGACGGCAATGACCAAGACATTTCCAGCCGCCAATTTAGAACTATTTACCGAAACAAGACCATTGATTCTTCAGCGATTAAAGGATGAACTCCCGGTTCGGTCCGAATCGTTGTCTTATAGCAGTTCAGCTGCACCTGTGGCACTAGGTATGTTGGAAATACGACCAGGTATTTGTCCAAAAGAATCGCTGAACACTGTCCCGCGTCATTACGAAAAGGCACTGTAAAATCCATCAACAGTTCGGTTTTACAACACTAGGTTGACAATGGACATCAAGTCCAGATGAACCAGTCGTTTAAATTCGTTTATACTACTCCTAAACGCTACACAAAACGGCTTAAGAAACATATGTTGACAAAAAGTGTCATATGGTGCCGTTTGATATGGCATATAAGCGCGCAGATTACAGTACAACGTTAATGCGCAATACAGTCGCGATGGCTATGGCTGAAACTCAGATGTCAATTCAAAGCGGTGGGGATACGATGAAGTGGGCTTCAAAAGAGATCCAACTCGCGGACCTTAATCATAGGAGACTATGCATCAGATATGTACGCATGATCCGACCTTCAGAGACAATGTTTACAGATGTGTACGGAAGACTGGGTACAACAGATGTGATTTAATATTATCACACCGAAGTATATGATCCTCGTAATGGTGCGCCAAGCGAAGTCGGTTTTACCTCGCCAAGGCCGGAGAGTGATCGAAACATGGGCACACACTAAGGCATGATAGAAAGTTACACCGGTGGTACAAAGGAGCCGATAATTCTGAACGGACAATTGTCATCTATAGATGATGGTAATATGGTCTGTGGGTCATTCACCATTGCTAGATAGTATTGCTGGCCTGAAATCGGTGAGACATGTAGTGAAACGGCGACACGGTGTCTTCTGACATTGTGCATTAATAACATTGATGCAACATTCAAAGCGATAAGTATACATGGGGCTGTTTGTTAAGATTTATTTGAGAAGAATGTATTCAGCCTCTCCGACACCGTGGGCAGGTCTAGCTACCGACTCGGTGTCAACTGATGTGAAAACTATAGACAGAAAGCCGATCAATTGAAGGTTCGTTGAAATACTGTATTGGTGCAAATGCGATTCGCGGGGAAAAGATAGAGTTATTCTGACTATGGAGTGACATCCAGCGATCTGACATACCAAGTGGAAGTTGGAAGTGCAAGGTACAGCGGGATATTTGGTTGCGAAGCATGTGACATCCGCTTGGTAATCAAGTAAAGATATGCATGAGACGAGTAGAAAATTAGCAACGGCAACAGTTTGTGACAATGCACTATTTGATCGATTAATCCAAGGGGTAGAATAAGGGATAATACAAAAAGCAAAATCCGTTGTTAGATGTGCGATACACAAGCGAAATGGAGAATCTGCTCATAAATAAGTAAAACACCGACGAATTTACCTTGTTCTATTGTCTTCGTGCCTTTGTGATCAGACATGTCAGTGGCAACGTAACCTGGACAGCACTGTGAAGGGAAATGAGAAAAGCGTACATTATGATACATTGGATGTAAACATTAGTATACGGGTAAAACAATCGAGGACAGTGGGGACAGCGCGTAACAACGAGCATGTGTTTGCCTTAGATACGAGTCACAAAGAATTGACAGTAACTGAGACTACGCGTTACAATGCATAAACGACAAAACTCAACAACGAGTTTCCAACCATTATGGTAGGCGTTCTTTGCAGAACTCGAATACGTAGGGGAGAAGGCGTGTCAGCCAAGCATTTCTCTACGCATCGGGTTCGGTTCGCGACTCTGTTATCTCCACCTGAAGAGTATAAACAGGGGTGCAAAACCGGCGGTTGAATGCAGCGTTTGGAGTGGGAATTGCTTAACAATAGCAATAATGTGTCAGCTGTACGCCGCAGCGGCAATTCGCTGCCGCGTGTGGGATGAGTATATCGCGAGAACGTCCGCCCCTAAGTGTATTCGAACCAGTGACCTTATGACTGCAAGCCAGGCGTGCAGACCACTCGGCTACCGGCCAAGGAATCGTTGTAACCTAAGCTCCCACGGTGACAAAGGTCAAGGTCAATTAAATAACGAAGTGATGAGGCAAAAAACGGTCATGCAAAACGTTCCAAAAATAAAAGAGTTTAGGGGTAGGATTACAGCAAAATCAATAATGCTGTAGAGAATGGGTATACACGAACTAACAGGACAGAGCCGAACCGAACAGGCACACTTGTCAGTTGCATTGTTTATTCGTCCGTATGTCGCAAAGCGTGCTCCCGCCAGAAGTATCCATGCACAACACACAATGAGATCGGCGATGGACAAGCATGAGAACGCAATGCAACCAGGCTAGACAGCACAGACATACGAAACAGTCTGTTAAAAAGTCACGAGGCTTATCACTCGACAGTAACGGGTCGAGTTCAGCAATATGCTGTCTTAGGCAAAGCCACCATATACGAGTAATGCTCCGTATATATCAATTGGTAGGAACGAGCGATCACTTATTCACTGAAGAGCACGACGCTCTAGGCGCCAGATGAAAAAGCTTGCCAAGAGATCGGGTCGTTTATCACATCAGGGAGCGGAGACAAATGTGATGAGTGTAAGTAGCCGCTTCATCAAAGTGTGCGCGGTAAAAAGAGAACGTGATTTACTTTCTCTAAAATAACTATGAAAAACAATTGCAGAATACAAAATCGCATAATAAAACGACTCGATTTCAGCAACATAACGAACAATGACAAGGAACAAATGGCCAATTGAGCCGAAGATACCCAAAGGCGGGTGACCGTAGTTTGTGATCCTGGTCGCATTTGTGAATGGCGAAAAACGACAGCAAACACAATAAAATCTGCATTAACTAATAGTGCTGGTGCAGACCACGTACCGAATTCATCACAATGTGCCGTGGGTCATTCTTGATTGAGTCCCCCAGTATATACGAAGCCTTACCCTGTGCTACCGCGGCTACGCCGTATGCTGTAGTTGGCCAGCCGTACTTTTCATGGTCACCGGCTTCGGCATGTCTAGAATGGAGAAGATGAATGATGTGCTAAGTGGAGAGAAAAAGTTCCGGGGCAACTGAAAAGCTGGTTATTTTCCTAATTGTGTGCCATATGAGAAATAACAATTCCATTCGAGCTACAAGAATCTTGAAACCGTGCATCAAACAGATGGAATCGTGGTTGGTGTAATGAGGCCCGAAGCAGACGTGTCGCAGAGTCATCGAGCATAAACCCGGCGAACGAAGAGGTAAAACATTACGCGATGATCCAATTACGTGCACCGAAGAGCACATACAGACAACTATGCAAACATGTAGCGCCGGACCTGAAGTGAATCACCCATCCTCTACACATCGAGCGGCCAATAATGAAGGTTGGAAGAAGGCTGACACAAGGCATGCTTAAAAGCAACGTGGGTTCGGTAGCTCAATGCACTCCGTAATGCACTTTGCACAACCGTTCAATCTAGTCAACGCCTACTCGGCAGCAACAAGATCGCGAATTTGTCGGTTTTTGCCTACTGTGAGTCATGCATATTTTACCACATCACATTAGTATTGAACATATATATCACGGGCCGGACCATCCGGTTGGTCAGTCGTCTAAGGCCTCACAAGACTGCCTTGTAATCCGAGGGTGCGAGTTCGAGCTTTCGTAGGCAACCGGGCGACCAACGCAGTATCCTTAGCCCATGGGCGATTGTTGGTGCTTGCGCAGCAGCGAAGCGTCGCTACTACGTACCGGCTTACTATTGATAATGTTGGTTTGCACCGCCAGTCAGCAGCTTATCACATGAGCACACGAAGAATGATCAGTAGTTTAACGTTCACGAACTAAGTTAGGTGAAGTTGTACTAAATGTATTGCTTCCACCTTCAGTGATACAGCGGCGCTTCGAGGAGAGTGAAAGCATAGTACAGATTTCGGCTGCCTTCTCCAGGGCATTTTGAGTTACCGGAATGCTATACCCATCATTTTTATAAGCAAAGACGTGTGCAATACGCCGTTTACTAGGAGGGAGAATAACAAAATGTGTTTAGAAACAAATTGGTTACAGAGGAGAAATGGCTGATTACAAGGGTGAACTCTAGCAGTCCGCAGCCGAAGAACGTGATACAATTTCGAGACCTCTGTCTGTATGACACAGGTTGCTACCCGATCAACGGTAGCACGGCTGAGTCATGCCGGACACTGATGAAAACAAAGCACCATCATCACACGGGTTGCTAGGTGACAGGGCGAGACAACAGCTCGCAGGTGCGAACCGCAAGTAGATTTGAAATCTGTCCAGGGCAAGTGGCGCCACCCAATAGTCCTCACATAAACAGGGCAGTGCTAAGGTAGCAGGTCATGTGTGCAACCTAGTCGACAGGTCGTTCATAACCGGGATGCCTTCGCAACACCTGCACGGTCGAAGGAGCACTATGTTATCATACACTCGCCAACGCAGGGAGCACTCAATTCCATAAAGAAATGACCCTGGAACTTGTGTCAACGGTTAGAACTCGACTAGTAACCGATCCACAAAGGGTCGGCATTAATCCCACCCGAAAGCCAATTTCAAAAACACGCTTCTAGCCTTCGAGCCCCTCGTCTGCTTATTTTCCAACCCACACGGTCTTTTTTGTAAGTTAACCGTGCTCATAAGGTTCCCACTACTTGAGAGATAGTCATGGTAACCAAAACATGGCTAACTATTAGGATCGCCGAGTCTGAGGTAGCTCCTTTCTGCTTGATCCTCCTACGCAAAGGTCGGCTTGTAGAGGAGGTGGCATCATCCTTTATCACTGATCTGACATGCGTAGCAATATTATCGACGATCCAGTATCGCAAGCTATCGATTCTCGTTAGTACCGTCTACACATTAGATGTAATGCTGTGTGCTTAATAGCAATGAGTTGCCGTCGTCTAATGTCCATCTTGGAGATAGATCACCGACTAGTTTCTGCCCTTAAGCGTGGCCTGGCACGGTCCTTCTGGTGGAAACTTCAAGCTGCACGCAGCATATGTTTTTGCTTTCCCCAGTGAACAATTCGAACATGGCTTTAGCGAAGCAATTGCCGATGTACCGCTAAACATCAACATGTCCTATCCTACGCGATACAGAACAAGTGTGCTTACCAACGAGGAACTAATGGGCAATACTGTAACCGCAGATGCATCACTTGGCCGTAACGAACATGTGATCATGCTCTTCCGCTAAATGGACCCGGTATGCAGTTATGAAAACAACGAGGAAACTCACTTGGTCACCAATTGCGACCAACAGTTTAACCTCATTCAATAAACCAACTGGTCCTTCTTAACTGAGCAGCCTCACGATGTCGCCTGGAAGGAACTGGTCACGGAGTTCACCGGGCTAGTGGAAAACGCATGGGAAGCCAAAGCGTATCACGCGAAACAAGCGAATTCCTTCCTCAGGATCTAGATTCGAATAGGTCGAACAGTTCGAAAATTTCCTCCAACCGAACGCGGTGTCCATGTCTCGGAAAGTTATCGAAAGTGGTGAATCCGGTCGCTCAGGCCACAGCACATTCCACGTGTTTGTTTATAGAGGAACTAGGGTTGGTGACACATTACCACGAATTCTTACTCTCCAACAACCATGCACGGCCACCGCAACCTACAGCCGTTCCAGTATTGAATAGACGTCCACAGATTAAGCGCCAATAAATTCAATATACTCCAGCCTCGTTTATGGGCGACCAGGTTACTGACTACACATTCTTGTGATTCGAATCGCACGTCCTCAAGTCCAATCAAGCAGCGTCCTATGACGCACCAGTTAAGTAGTACGAAGGGAATGGACAAGCATAACAAACTCAGGGAAACCGTGGATCACTACAGCTGCAAAGCGCACCATATACACGCAACTACCACTGAGTCATATTGGATGAAGGCGCAGCAGCCCGGAGATATAAGATAACACTATGGATGAGGTGTCCAAATGTGCACAGAAGCAAAATGATAGGCCGTGTGGACCACATGGTCATCAGTTTCAACTTCGCCTGCTATGCGGAATATCGGAATGAAAACGATGAGACTGTACTAACTATTACATGCATCGATCGATTAAGCCAGATCGTCAGAGCTACAACTTGGTCGTTCCTTCCCGAAGAACCCCCGGAATTCGCCTGACTCAAGTTCGTCAACAAATTCAGTCAGCTGTTTGCAAAGGCTTCAGCGATGAGATTGCAATAAGTGTGCATTAGTTTCTTTCGTTAGGATCAGAACTGGAAAGTGGATGTCAGTACGCAACGCAGCATGGACGAGTGTACAGAGAAGCTCCAGCACCAGAAACTTCGGACAGCTAAGTAGCCCAACCTAACCATTGCACATCACGGCTCAGAGAAGACAAACCGCCTATAAGCAGAACATCGCAAAAAGCTTCATTGCTAACCACAAATTTCTGTACAAGCATGTCAACGGCCTACGAAAGGTGAGGTGTGGATTTCCTCCAATCAGGACAACCGATGGCCCAAGAAGAAGGGCTGTGTAATCAGCAAACTTGCTGTGGATGCAATATGCCTGCATGCTTCAGAGAGTCTTGCCACCAAGCGATCTTCCATGCTTTGTCGTCCCTCCGCCAGGACTAACTCACATCACTTTTACCGCGACGGCTATATTTCAAAAGCTGACGTCTTTATGCAAACACCGTTCGCCGGGTCTCGACACCATTCGTCCAGAGGCAATGGAAGTAGCAGCAAGTTAACTGGCAGGACCTTTAGCTCCGATTTTTTCAGCGCTGTTTAGACCAGAACCAAATTCCCGCTATGTGGAAGCTTGGAATAATAACCCCGATTCACAAAGGTGGAAGCAGAACTGAGCCCTCCAACTACCGCCCAATATCCCTTGTTCCTATACTCTCCAGAGTCATGGAATCCACAGTTGCCGATGCACTGGTGTGTCTCCTGGAAAACTGCAAAATTATCACGCCTGATCAGCACTGCTCTCGCCGTCGGCGGTCATGCAGAACGAAATTCCTAATCGCACGCAGTAGTCGGACCCAATCAACTGAGGCTGGAGAAGGCGTTGTAGTGATCTACCTGAAATTTTCGTAGGCTTTCGATGGTCTAGACTAGTCCTTCTCAACCTTTATTCATCCGTAGCCCACTTTTGAACATTTCCGTTTCCTATGGCCCCCTCACCCTTGATCACCATAACTTCAACAATCCGCAACGCCTAACAGACGCAACTCTGTGGTTTCCAGTGGTCAAATTGGTACATTTTGCTATCATGACTAAACTTGTATCGTTGGTATCACTACTGCTTCCATTATAAACCTCATATTTTTAATTTTCACAGCTTCAAGATAACACACATTGTGCCGCAACATCAAACCACTTGTCTGTAATTATACAAAAGTCATCATTCATATTTAAAATTGCATTTACTTCTTATTGGCTTTTAACTGTAAGGCATGTCGTGTATTAGGAGGTTTTAGAGGGTTGCCTGTACCGGGAGCCCAGAGAGCGATTCGAGAAGACGGATCGAGTTGCAGAGAAACTTTTATTGGTACAGTAAAAGATTCCCTGTTATCTAGCTATAAAAGAACGACACCGTGGACGCTCTAGCTAGGGGAACGGATCAAGCACAGCACACAGGGCAGTTGCGCGTTGCAACCGAAACGAGCGCCAAGCAAAAATGGCGATGAGCAAGTAAAGCATTCGAACTCAGCAAGCAGTTCAACAAACCACACCGGTTGCCTAGGTGTAAAATTATAGAATTTTGGTTAGAATTTTACACAAGCAAACCGGGGAATCTCCAGTCTGCTACAAGGTGTAGTAAATTCGTAACAAAATGTTTGTCGAGGTGTCAATCTGAGTTTTGAGCCTGATGACATGGAGCAAGCTTGCTTAGCGACTTGACAGGGAGTCGAGAATCTCCTCTTGCTTTGATGTCCAAGCTGTTTCTAATTTTTATTAGAGAAACCAGTCTGCTGAATCCACATTCAACCAGGTATGTGGATAGAAAAGCAAGGAAATTTATTTCAGCTATTTCCCACTGTCTGGAGCATCAGTATATTCACAATTCCTCATATATAGCGTGGATTTGGGTCATGCAAATGTGTCATTCTTAAGCTCTATGTGACTTTCCTGAATTTCAGCCTCAACACCATAGGGCTGTACAACAAATGGATTCAAAATCCAAATCTGGGTTTCCATATCAAGCTGGTCATGAAACCTGTCTTTCATTTTGTTTTTCGGAGTTCTTGTATATAACTGGCATTAACAATCAATTGGGAATTGGGAAAATTCCCGAGGTCCGATGTTCTGAGCATATACTTCCAGCTTTATAAGAAATGCGCTAATTTGATGTTTGCTCGAGAAGAGGTTACTCTACATATCTTGAAGTGTTTTATTTAATTAGTAGAGTTTTGCGAAATCATCAGCCAGATAAAACACATTAGGCTTAGCGGTACAGTTTTTTTCATAATCAGTTCCAGAAAGGGAGGCGATGATGGTGTCCCAGAGTGCAACAAAACAGGGAAGACAGTTGCCTGATAGACTGATAGACTGTCCTGTGCGTTACATCACTGACTCAGGATACGTTTGAGCTCGTCCCCCTTGATACGAATGGCATATAAACGGTTTATTGTTACGCGTTTCAGACAAATGCTATCCAATCTGCTGCATGAGCGACGAAGAGATTTCCAGTATTTCGTCGGCAAGATGTTGCTTTCTATGCACTTAGCGAGAAAATCGAGACATATATCCGCCTTCGCTATTCTGGTTTTGAAGCCCACATATCTGTTGAGCGATTTTAACACAGTACAGAAGTGCGAGTATAGTACATAACACTCCGGTAAAACAAGCACACCTTGAAGCTCTTAACCGTCTGGTTAACAATGATGAGGTCTTACTCACTCGGCCAGATAAGGGCGCGGGTATTGTTATCATGAACAGAGTGGACTACTTGAGCAAAAGGAAAGAAATACTGGCAGAGGAAATCAAGTTTCTGAGGGCCATAGGTAA